CACGAAGGCCCTCTATAGCTCTTAGCCCTCCCCCTCATAAAATCAGTGGCAACAGGGTCGATGGGTGTGGGGAGGGCCACCCAGATAGGTGGAGGGCATATGGGAGCACCCTGTTTAGCAATCATAATGATGAGGAATGGGGGCGGGGCATCTCCAAGTGCTACCACGAGTCACCCGGGAGTGGCGGGTTCTGCAACTGGGGTGCTATGCATAGCAGGCAGTGCCGATAGCCTCTCCCTCCACCCTTCCACTTTTCTGTCTTTCACTCCATTTCTTTCTCCTGCCGTGTAATTGATTCTTCTCTCCTTGGGGAAAGCAAGGGTATGTCTACACTACCCCGCTAGTTCGAACTAGCGGGGTAGTGTAGACATACCCCAACTCTCATTCTCACGCCCCCATTTTCCTAATCTCCTGTCCTATAGCCCATCTCCAAGGCCCTGCCCTGACTCCTTCACCCCCACACAACGTGCACCCTGCCCTGAAGGACCTAGGCAATGCTGGCTAAGTCTTATAATCCAAAATATTTTTTTTAGGTTTTTCCTTAACTAAAATCATAAAACCTGACATGCATACATTGGAATATCTAGTGGTTTCTCAAGATACAGGATTACTAAATGGAAAAAGGAAAAGGCAGTTCTGTTTAGGAGCTTATCCTGTTTAGCATGTCATATTTGGCTCCCCGCTTATGCTAATGAAGCCTGGGAAATTCAAATCCCGGGCTTCATTAGCAAGTGCGGTATGCATACATTACCCCGCTAGTTCGAACTAGCGGGGTAGTGTAGACATACCCCAAGAGAGATAAAGGCTCAGCCGGCCGCTGACTTCAATCCACATCTGCCTGGCAACAGCAGGGGCTGCTACATTTGGCTGCACACGGAGGTGGTATTCTACCCTTTAGAAGGGGGGCTGGCTGGGAGCCAGGACTCCTGGGTTCTAGCCCCACCTGTGGAAGGGGAAGGGACTGCTGAGGTCTGAGCCAAACCGACTGGTAGCCAGGACCCCTGGGTTGCATTCTTTGCCTTTAGTAGGGCTGCTAATATGAAGCAGGTGCATAAAAGCTTGACCAGATCTGATTCAGCAGCTTCATGCCTACCTCAGTCCCAGCCTCTCCTGCAGGGGGCACTGTGAGGAACATAGTCAGGAGCAGGGGGAATGTCCAGCTTCCCCAATCCCAGCCTCTCCCTGCAGGGGGCACTGTGGGGAACTGGGGCACAGGGGAAACGGCCTGTCTCAGCAGCGGATGCTGGTTGCGATTCAGTCTAGCGTGGAGACTGACTGGCTCAGCAAGGGGGAGAGTATGGAACACGGAGCCTTCCCCTCTATGGAGCACCAGCCCCAAACCTGGGCAGCTGATGGGGACTAGTGTGGCAGCAGGGCCTCACATTTTGGAGCAAAATGCAGGACAATGTAGCACTTTAAAGACTAACAAGATGGTTTATTAGATGATGAGCTTTCGTGGGCCAGACCCACTTCCTCAGATCAAATAGTGGAAGAAAATAGTCACAACCATATATACCAAAGGATACAATTAAAAAAATGAACAAATATGAAAAGGACAAATCACATTTCAGAACAGGAGGGGGATGGGGGGGGGGAAGGAAGGTAAATGTCTGTGAATTGATTATATTAGAGGTGGGGAGAGTGGGATGTCTGTGAGCTAATGGTATTAGAGGTGATAATTGGGGAAGCTATCTTGGTAATGGGTAAGATAGTTTGAGTGTTTGTTCATTCCTTTTTGGAGAGTGTCGAATTTTAACATGAATGACAGTTCAGAGGATTCCCTTTCAAGTGCAGATGTAAAAGGTCTTTGTAGCAGAATGCAGGTGGTTAAGTCATTGAGAGAGTGTCCTTTCTGGTTAAAATGGCAAGAAACTGTTTTCTCTTTGTGATCTTGTCTCTTATCTGTTTTGTGGGCATTAATCCTTTGGCGAAGTGTCTGAGATGTTTGTCCAATGTACATAGCAGACGGACACTTTCAGCACATGATAGCATAAATTATATGTCTGGATGCGCAGGCACTCACATTTTGGAGTTAGTGCTGTCTCCCAGGCCCAGTTCAGTGCAGTCACACACGGCTGCTCCAGATAAAAGTCACCTCCGAGCTGTCAGCAGCGATCCCATCACCAGCCTGCCTGCCGGGGTGCTGGCTAACAGCACAGAGCAGGGCTGTGACTAGACACATGGGGGTAGGTCAAAGTCATCCCCTTGAAGGCAGGATGAGGAACTAGCCAGGTGCCTGGATGTGGCTGTTTCTCATTACCCCGGGAGTTTGCATCTGCTCCTGAAGCTGAGCACCTGGGGAGAGATTGTGCAGGTGTTCTGGGTTAGGAGCATAGAGGGCCCAGGATGAGTAAGAATGGTGTCCCTATTCTCTGTCAGAGGCTGGGAATGGGTGACAGGAGAGGGATTACTTGACGATTCCCTGTTCTGTTCACTCCCTCTGGGGCATCTGTCATTGGCTACTGTTGGCAGACAGGATACTGGGTGGATGGACATTTGGTCTGACCCAGGGTGGCCGTTCTTATGGCTGGGGGGCGGTGGTTGTGGGTTTCCAGGGTGAGGGAGTGCTCATGGCTGCAGAAGGGGGGAAGCCCTGCAGTAGCAGATGGGGGATACTCTGTTCCCCACATTTGGGCTCACTCTTGTCTCTATTAGGCAGAGTGACATGAAGCTAGGAGCAGCTTTTTTGCTGTTGTCAGCACAAACTCTAACCCCGCTATTCTTCCTATCTGAGCCATGCACAATCCCTCCTGGAATTTTGACTTTGGTGACTTCGTGTGGCAGTGAGTTCCACAGACCAATGACTTGGCATGGGGAAAAGAGGCTATCTTTGAAACTGTACCCTTCCCATCCAACATCCCTTTGCCCTTGGGTGACAAGATGGGGAAAGTCAAAAGTTCTCCATTGCCCTTCTCTCTCTCCTCCTCACGGCTTCATAGCCCTAGCAGTTCTGCCCCTTGTTATCCATCACATGGGAGGCACCTGCTGCCTCAGACGCAGCTGAGCTCTCCTGCAGATGGGATGGGATTTTACTTCACTGTGATGGGAGGACTATACTTGCGCTGAGAGCCAACAATCCTTCCCTGCCACCAATAGCCTTGCAAAATGCAGTGGAAACTGAGGCAGACAGCGTCATAAAAATATGACAAAATCCTCACTTTGTCATAGTTTGTTGCCCCAGAATGGGGGAATTTCTGAAGTGCTTTGGCAGGAGGAGTCAGGACACGCATATGGCTGAAGAGCAAGGTGGAGAAACTGAGGCAGGGTGGGTGTAAGTCCACACTGTATGAGCCCCAAGAAAGCTTGTATCTGAGGCTCTGAAGGTTTCCCGGTAGCTCCTATTTGAGGGTTTTCCGAAAGGGCAGAGAGAGGGAAAGATTTTTTTTAATCGCATCTTCACATCTCCCCATGGACAGGGTCTCAAGGTAATTCTGTTCTTAGGTAGATGGCAGTGGGGCAAAGAAAACCTGACGAAAGCCCCTGTTGGAGCTGGGTGCTGACTAAGATCAGCATGGTGGGACATTTGCGCACCAAGACCAGGAAATGTCGAGGCAAACAGTGACTTGAGGGGAACCTGGAGTCTGAAACATCCCTCCCCTCGCCCCCTCCCTCGGAATTTGGCCCAGCCTGAGTGTAGATTGATGCCCGGGACACAGTATTCTTTCACCTTGATAAACAATGGGGGGATGGGAGAGGGAGATTTTTTGAAAAATGTTGGGTGGGGTTAATTTAATGTTTAATTTCTTTCTGTTTTTAAAGGTAGAGATTTTCCAAAAAAGGTTTTGTTTTCTCATCAAATGATAGAAACTTTTTGAGGGGAGGAACATTTCCTTTCTTTCTTTAAATCTGTTGATTACAGACATCTCGTTTTGGAAAATGACAAAGACTGCACGTTTTCTAAAAAAATTCCCCGCAAATCAAACTGGCCAATAAAATAAAACAATTTTCTGTGGGAGAGAGGGGAGGAATGTGGAGGGACTTTGGGAGGTTTGGAACTTTCCAAGCAAATCAGTGTGAGGAAGTGACCATGTTGTCACCTCTAACAATTTTATCTGGCAATGCATGGTGTTTTCCTTTCAGTCACCAGCTCCTGGAGCCATGAGATCCTGTAAAGGATTTACGCTTTCATTTAAAAATAAGTAAATTGGTGGTGGCAGAGAAAAACCTGGCAATGGGACCCCTAAAGTCTCAAAAAGCAGAAGATAACTGAAGCTTAGCTTAGTGTAAACTCATGATTTTCAATCAAGATCTCATGATTTTTCTAGATGAACAACTCATGACTTTCTGCCTTTTGGTGGTGCTCGTGTGGGGCTAGCCACTAAAAGGCCCAAGTTGTATCTGTTGGGCACCACTTTTTTTTAAACAAAATGCCTCCAGCAGGGTTCGTGGGGCACAGAAATCAAACAGAGTTTCACAGCTCCACAAGCTGGGGATCCTTGGACAGGGCCTCTGCCAGCTGAGCTGTAGAATCCAGGATGGCGTACAGGGACTGTTTTAGACATTGATCATTTGTTCATCAGTGAGCTGCAGCTGCCTCTGGGGTGGAACCTGGAGGCTGTTTATACATGGCCCCCACACCCGGTGCTTATGCAGCTGCCTCTAGAAAATGGACTAAAGTAGCCTGAATCTCTAGACTGGCTAGTAGAGAGGGACAGAGCTGCTGTAGGTTTGTTGCTACTGACTTTTGTGCCTTTTGCCTGCAGAGCCCGGGCAGGGAGGAAGTGAGGGACAGTACCATGGAAAAACTCCTCCTGCCCCTTCTTATGCTCGGCAGCATGGTGAAAGCTCAGCACTGCCCCGGGCGCTGCATCTGCCAGAACATCTCGCCCACCCTGACCATGCTATGTGCGAAGACAGGGCTGCTCTTCGTGCCTCCATCTATCGACCGGCGCACGGTGGAGCTGCGGCTGACGGACAACTTCATCACCATCATCCGGCGCAAGGACTTCTCCAACATGACCAACCTGGTGCACCTGACCCTCTCCCGCAACACCATCAGCCAGGTGATGCCTTATGCCTTCGCCGACCTGCGCTCCTTGCGCGCCTTGCACATGAACAGCAACCGGCTGGCTGCCCTCCGCAACGAACACTTCAAAGGCCTGGGCAACCTCCGGCACCTCATCCTGGGCAACAACCAGATCAGCAACATCCAGCCAGCCTCCTTCAACGAGTTCCTGGCCACCGTGGAGGACCTGGACTTGTCCTATAACAACCTGGAGACGCTGCCTTGGGAGGCCATCGGGCAGATGGTCAGTCTCAACACCCTGACCCTCGATCACAACCTCATCGACCACATCGCCGAGGGCACCTTCTCCCAGCTCCACAAGCTGGTGCGTCTGGACATGACCTCTAACCGGCTGCAGAAGTTGCCCCCAGACAACCTCTTCCTCCGGGCCCAGGTGCTGGCTAACGTCCGAGGCTCCCACCCATCCACCCTAACTATCAGCTTTGGGGGCAACCCCTTGCATTGCAACTGTGAGCTCCTCTGGCTCCGGCGCCTGACACGGGAGGACGACCTGGAGACATGCGCCTCTCCCGAGCACCTGATGGATAAGTACTTCTGGTCCATCCCCGAGGAGGAGTTCATTTGCGAGCCGCCCCTCATTACACGCCAGTACTCCACCAAGGCCTTCATCATGGAGGGCCAGGGTGTCAGCCTCAAGTGCAAGGCGGTAGGAGACCCCGACCCCTCCATCCACTGGATTGCGCCCGACGGGAAGCTGATTCACAACACCACCCGCACCACAGTCTATGACAATGGCACACTGGAGGTGCACATCACCACGCTCAAGGACAACGGGGTCTTCACCTGCATTGCCTCCAATGCTGCCGGCGAAGCCACTGCCCCCGTGGAGGTCTGCATCGTGCCGCTACCGCTGCTGGTCAACAACACGGGCCACATGAAGGAGCCCGACCCCGGCTCATCCGACATCACCACCTCTGCCAAGTCGGGCACCAATGACACCAAGAACCACCTGGATAAGAAGATTGTGGCGGCCGAGCTGAGCTCCACTTCAGTGGTGATCCACTGGCCCTCGGAACGGCACATTCCCGGCATCCGCATGTACCAGATTCAGTACAACAGCTCCCTGGACGACTCGCTGGTGTACAGGTGAGACTGGGCTAGTGAATGGGATTCAAGGTCATGAGCAGGGCTGGAACCATGGGCTTTAGAAGCAGGTGCTAAAGAAGAGCCAACTGGCGACACTAGTAGGTTGTTATCCTCCTTGTAATAGAATCCCCAGCTTGCATGAACCATTTATCAAGCAGCCGATATGTCGGGTGTAAATGAAACCTGTTTTCTTACCCATGGTTAGCTCCACGGAGCTCAGTGCAGCCAGAGACTGAGGAAGGGTAGGAGAATGCAGCTTATTCACTGCCTCTCAGCCTGCACTGCCCGGTGTCACCGGCAAGGGGTCTCTCAGTTCTGCCCTTTGGGGGAATTCTGCGGAAAGCAAAGGAAATATCAGAGCCCTGAACGTGGTTGGAAATTTGTGTGGCTGAGGGGTGGGTGAAGGGAGCTGTTGCTAACCCTAATGCCAGGGTGAGCCCAGGCTAGGAGCAGCAATGCATTGGGGGGGGAGCAGGGCCAAGGGCCAATTATTTGGCTCTCTATGACTGGGATTCCCAGATTGACAGGTTCAAATCCCACCACCACTGTCTCCATTTCCTCAGCTCACAGGGTGCTAATGGTCTGGCACAGCTTTGCTTCAGAGCCAAATCCTTCCCTCCTAAGATTCCCCCTTCCTTGTGTGCCCCTTGGCTGTTGCGCTCCATCTCCAGTGGCAGGAGAAACTATCCTTGTGCAGACATGACTCACTTAGGCTATGTCTAGACTCCAGAGCTTTTCCAGGAGGTATCGCGGAAAAGCAATGCCACGTCCCCTTTTCCATCTAGACTGGCATGATTTTCCGCAAAGAGCGTCTAGATTGGCACGGATGCTTTTCCGCAAAAGCACTTTTTGTGGAAAAGCATCCGTGCCAATCTAAACACGGTTTTGCACAAGAAAGCCCAGATCGCCATTTTCACCATTGGGGCTTTTTTGTGCAAAACAGTTTTTAGCTGTCTACACTGGCCCTTTTGCACAAAAACATTTCCAGAAAAGGGCTTTTGGCCGAATGGGAACGTCAAAGCATTTGCGCAAGAAGCACTGATTTCGGACAGTAGAACGTCAGTGCGTTTGAGCAAAATCAAGCGGCCAGTGTAGACAGCTGGCAAGTTTTTGCGCAAAAGCAGAAAAACTTGCCAGTCTAGACGCAGCCAAAATGTTTTGGAAAAGCAGATGTGCTCTTTCGCCATCCCTGTAAACCTCGTTGTACAAGGCAGAAGAGATGTGTCGAAAGAGCAGGTTTTTCTGAAATTTGGTGCCGTGTAGATGCACCAAATTTCGGAAAAGCCTCTTTCGACAGAAAAATGGAAAAGAGATGCAAATTGCGGGTTGCCATTTGCGACTCTTTTTCCAACTTACCTTTGTAGTCTAGATGTAGCACTGGCCCCTCTGGTGATCACCACTAATGCCTGTGGCTGGAATCTGTTTCAGAGGATGGTGGGGTCTCTAGTCCAGCGAGCTGTGGGACTGGCACCCTGTGACTCCACTCCAGTGTGGCATTAGCAACTGCAGAATCAGTGGGTGGGGAGGCTAGGACAGGGAGCTGCTGCAGGGGAAGTACAAAGGGATAATGGCTTCCTCTGCAACCTTTGAAAAAGGGACAGTCGAGAGTGTGGTTTGTTTAAAAGCTGTTGCTCAATATGCGGGTGAGTTCCTCAGTGTGCGTGCGCACGTGACCCATTACTGTGTGTACATGTGTGTTGTAACACTACTGTGTGTGTGACATTTACTCTTTGTGCATGGATGAGTGCAGGAGTTGTTCCCTTGCTGCTGAGGTGCAGCCACCTCTGGCGTGGGGCATCACAGCTCTTTCTAAAGGGAGCACTCCGTTCTGAGATGAAGTCATCTCTTGAGTGGGGCATCACAGCTGTTTATACAGGCATCACTCGCTCAGTGCTGAGACGCAGCTACCTCCTGAATGGAGCACAGGGGCTATTTACACAAAGATCCTTTGCTCAGCAGTGAGATGCAGCTGCCTCGGGGGTGGGAAATGGAGGCTGTTTATACAGGAATCCCACACCTGGTGCTGAAACACAGCTGCCTCTGGGTGAGCACAGGGGCTATCATGGACCAGAAGAAGAGCAGTACAAACAACTGATTTTTTTGGTTCACTAGCAAAAAAATACCAGAAAGACCAGGCCCAAAACCAGGGTTCCCATTGTGCCAGGTGCTGTACATTTTATTGATATTAGGTGTATTACGGTAGCACCTAAGCATGCTAATGAAGGGGCTGGAGCCTCCATGGTACCTAATAGCAGTAAAATATCAAGTATCATCCTGCGCCATAACTAGGGTGCCTAGCTAATACCACAATACCCCTAAAAGCAATTAAATGTATGGCACCTAGCACAATAGAGTATCCTGGCTCATTTTATTGCTATTAGGTGTATTATGTTAGCATTTAGGCACTCTAGTTGTCAGCCTGGAGCCTCGCAGGACAACCATAATATCCTTAATAGCAGTAAAATGTACGTTACAGAAGCACCAAGGGTCCTGTCCTATAACTAGGCTGCCTAGGTGACACCATAATACCCTTTACAGCAATCACATGTATATAGTGCCTAGCAGAATGGGCTGTCCTGGCCCATAACAAGGGGCTCTGTTGTGCTAGGTCCTGTGCATTTGATTGCTATTAGAGGTGTTACGGAGCACCTGGGCCCCTCCCTGGGCATAACCCCACGGGCTGGGGCCCGAGTTAGGGACAAGGAGTTGTTCCCACAACTAACCAGTGACTCCCTTCTGTCTCCCCTCCCCCTGCAGGATGATCCCCCCCTCCAGCAGGGCCTTCCTGGTGAACGACCTGGCGGCAGGCCGGGCCTACGACCTGTGTGTGCTGGCCGTCTACGATGACGGGGTGACGGCGCTGACGGCTACGCGGGTAGTGGGCTGTGTCCAGTTTACCACAGAGGGCGAGACCGCCCAGTGCCATGCCCTGCACACCCAGTTTCTGGGCGGCACTATGATCATCATCATCGGCGGTATCATTGTGGCCTCCGTCCTGGTCTTCATCATCATCCTCATGATCCGCTACAAGGTCCACAGCGGGCAAGAGGGGCACAAGAAGGCCAAGGTCAGCAACGTCTACTCCCAGACCAACGGAGGGCAGCCCCCAGCCTCCAAGACCACGGAGGACAAATATGAGACCTTCCAGGAGGCGGAGCCTAAGGAGGCAGGGCCTGTGGAGGTGGAGCCTAAGGAGGCAGGGCCTAAGGAGGACACACCTACTGCCCCTGAACAGGACAAGCGAGATCTGAAGCCGGGTGCAGACCTCCAGACTGTGGCCCTGCTGTCCTCAGAGGAGGGCCAGCCCAAGGGCCAGGAAAGGGGGCCAGGCAGCCAGCACCGGGCCACGCTGGGCAGTGTGGGCCTCTTTCCCCGGGAGCTCTCGAGGACTCACCACCACCGTCACTCCTTCGACGGGGACTATTCTCTGTTTCAGAGCCACAGCTACCCGCGCCGGGCACGGACAAAAAGGCACATGTCCACGTCCCAGCTGAACACGGAGGACTGCCCACTAAGCCAACGCCGGGTGACCTTCAGCAGTACCGAGTGGATGCTGGAAAGTACCGTCTGAGACGGGCCCTGGGGGCTGCGGGGGTAGCAATTTTGTTGGGCCCACGGGGCGCATGACCCATCCCACGGGGGCGAGGAGGGAATGGCTGCAGTTTCACCCACCTGCCCCGGCTGGGGGCCTGCGCTGATCCTGCTGACTCCGACTCTCTTCCGCTGCGGTGCCTTAAAGAGCGGAGATGGAAGACAATGAAAACCAGTCACCCGACAGATGCACCGGACTGCCCGGCTGCAGGGAGGGGAAGGAGGTGGGGGGGCCCCAGGATGAGTTTTGAGAGCCTCTTCCAGCCCATGCGTGCCGGGTAGTTTGGGAAGGGCGGGAGCAGAACTAGCAAAGACACATGCACAGATGACACGAAATTACAAAGATCCTTTTACCTTGAGTAACTCGTTATGCATTAATAACTGTCCAGGACGGGGGACAGGGCAGTGTTTAGTTCCCAAACAAACCCATGTCCCCCTCCCCCCAAAGTATTTCTGGGAAGGAGGCGATAGGCACCCACTCCCAACACAGACTGAGGGGGCCTATTTATTGTATCTGGCTGGTCTAGATAATTTTCTGTGTTCAGTGTATTCAGTATTGGAAAAGTCATCACCCCTTTCCCCTGTTACTCCAAACTGTCCCCTGGTCTAACACCCCGTGCTTGCCCTCCAGCTCCCCATTCCCCTCGGCTGTGCTCCTTTCTCTCCAGCCTCCTCAGTATACCCCATTCCCCATCCATCTTGCACAACTTCAGTTGTACTCTTCCATTCCTCTTCACCCAACCCCTAGAGCCATCCCCTACCATGCCTCCCAGTGGTACCCCGTTCCTCCCCACCATGTTCCATCTGTTCCAGCCCCCACTGCTGTGCTCTATTCCTCGTCCCATCCCCACTACTGTGCCCCATTCTCCCCACCACCACCACCATTCCCATCCTCAACCTCTCCCCATCATGACTTTTTAACAGGCAAACGTTGTATGAGTGTTGAACACAAGTTTTTACATTAAAAACCTGTGCCCTCAGCCCCTTCAAACCTCCTTATTTCCTCATACTCCCTTTCCCTCCCCCGTGCCCTTTCGGGGCAAGGCTCCCCCTTTTCAGGAGGTGATTAAAACCTTTTCTGTGTGAACCACAGTGGGCCTGACCTGTGTCTGTCTTGTTGGGGGTGGAGGCTGCACAGGGACACAAAGAGGGAGCAGGTGCAGAGTGTGAGTCGGGGGAAGGGATGGAGGTGATGCCCAGACAGGGCAAGGGGGGTCACAGATGGCAGAGGGGAGAATGGCCTTTAGGGGACACTGGGGAACAGGAATCTGAGGACAAATCCAGTAGTGGGGCCTCCCCCACTGGGATCCAGGGAGATCAGAGTGAGTAACCCCAAAGTCCCTGGCAGGACTATGGGTGGGCACTGAAGGCTTTGGGGTTATACGAACATAAGCAAATAATACTAATTAACAAGCCCAAGGATGCAGCAAAGAGGGGAGGGGGAACCGGTTCTTTTGAACCATGTCAGCGGCATCCTTTGCTGCATGCTCCCTCTCCCCTCAGCCTGATGGCTTCAGTCCCGATCCATCTGCCAAGATGAAGGGAGGGCCCTGGCGGAGCCCAGAATGTCCATGAACATGGAATTGGTAGCCAGAAGGCTCCTCCTCAGAGCCAGCTCCCCTAACCTGCTCACAGTGCCCCCTGCTGGGACAGGCTGGCACTGGCATGGCCGAGGGATCCCTCCCCACAGCCAGTGTCTCTGCCCTGAGCTCCACAGCACCCCTTGCTGGGAGAGCCAGAGACTGTTCTGGCTCAGGGGTGCTGAGCCCACAGGCTGGGAGCAGGAAAGCAGCTGGTGGCTGAAGGATGGAGGAGCGGGGGAAGGTACCTCATTGAAGGAAGGTCCAGGAAGGTGCCACCTGCTTCAAAACTCAGTCTGAGCTGCAAAGGGCTGGGCACCGAGGAGACATCCTGTGAAATTACAGTCTGAGGAGAGCGGCTGAAGGGACAAGGCAATGTCTTGCGAGGGGTCTAGTACAGGCCACCTACCCAGGCGGAAGAGGTGAGTGAGGCTTTTTTAAACAACTCACAAAATCATCCAAAGCAGAGGATTTGGTGGTGACACGGGACTTCAGCTGTCTAGACATCAGTTGGAAAATTAACACAGCGGGGCACAGACTAGCCAATAAGTTCTTGGACTGCATTAGAGACAATTTTTTATTTCAGAAGGTAGAGAAAGCTACGGAGAGGAAGCTGTTCTAGATTTGATTTTAACAAATAAGGAGGAACTGGTTGAAAATTTGAAAGTGGAAGGCAGCTTGAGTGACAGTGATCATGAAATCATAGCGTTCAAGATATTAAGGAATGGTAGAAGGGAGAACAGCAAAATAGAGACAATGGATTTCAGGAAGGCAGATTTTAGTAAACTCAGAGAGCTGGTAGGTAAGGTCCCATGAGAAGCAAGACTAAGGAAAAACAACTAAAGAGAGTTGGCAGTTTTTCAAAGAGACCTTATTATGGGCCCAAAAGCAAACTAATCTACTGCACAGGAAAGATAGAAAGTATGGCAAAAGACTGCATTGGCTTTACCAGGAGATCTTGAATGATCTAAAAAGGAGTCATATAAAAAGTGGAAACTAGGACAAATTACAAAGGATGAATAAAAGCAAATAACACAGGTATGCGGGGCAAGATTAGAAAGGCAAAGGCACAAAATGAGCTCAGTCTAGTTAGAGACATAAAGGGAAACAAGAAAACATTCTATAAATATTATAGAAGCAAGAGGAAGACCAAGGGCAGGATAAGGCCCATTGCTCAGTGAGGAGGGAAGAACAATAACAGGAAACTTGGAAATGGCAGAGGTGCTCAATGACTTCTTTGTTTTGGTCGTCACCGAGAAGTCTGATGATGAAGGGATGCCTCACATGGAAGTAAGAGGAAGACCAAGGACAGAGTAGGCCTGTTTCCCGATGAAAAGAGAGAAACAATTATGGATAATGTGGAAATGGCGGAGCTGCTTACTAGGGAAAAAACAAGTTAAAAATTATTTAGAAAAGTTGAATGTCTTGAGTTTACCAGGGTCTGCTGAAAAGCATCCTAGGATACTTAAGGAGCTGACTGAAGAGTGCCCATCTATAAAACGTTTAGTTCCTGTTTATAAAAAGGGAAATAAAGGCAACCCATCAGTTTCACTTCTGTGCCAGATAATGGAGCAAATAATTAAGAAATCAAATTGCAAACATCTGGGAGAAAATAAGGTGATAAGTCAGCATGTATTTGTCAAGAGGGTAACAAGCCTTGTGGATAAGGAGAAGTGGTAGAGATGCTATAGCTAGACTTTAGTAAGGCTTTTGATACAGTCTCGCATGACAGTCTCATTAACATACTAGGGAAATGCAACCGAGCGACTATTAGTTGGGTGCATAACTGGCTGGATAACAGTTCTCAGAGAGTAGTTATCAATGATCCACAATTGTGCTGGAAGGGCATAATGAGTTTATTAATAGTTCACAGTCATGCTGGATCAGTTCTGTTCAATATCTTCTGAACAATTTAGATGATGACATAGAGAGTACACTTATTAAGTTTGCAGATGGTACTAAGCAGGGAGGGGCTGCAAGTGCTTTGGAGGATAGGGTCATAATTCAAAATGATCTGGACAAACTGGAGAAATGGTTGGAGGTGAATAGAATGAAGTTTAATAAGGACAAATGCAAAGTACTTCACTTAGGAAGGAACAATCCGCTTCACACATACAGAATGGGAAGCGACTGTCTAGGAAGGAGTACTGCAGAAAGGGATCTAAGGGTCATAGTGGACCATACGCTAAATATGAGTCAACAGTGTGACACCGTTGCAAAAAAAGCAAACTTGATTCTGGGATCCATTAATACGAGTGTTGTGAGCAAGACACCAGGGCTGCATCTAGACTGGCAAGTTTTTCCACAAAAGCAACTGCTTTTGCGGAAAAACTTGCCAGTTGTCTACACTGGCCGCTTGAATTTCCGCAAGAACACTGACGTCCTACTGTCTGAAATCCGTGCTTCTTGCGGAAATGCGATGCTGCTCCTGTTCGGGCAAAAGCCCTCTTGTGCAAATGCTTTTGCGCAAGAGAGCCAGTGTGACAACGCGGTATTGCTTTGCGCAAAAAAGCCCCAATCGTGAAAATGACGAGCGGGGCTTTCTTGCGCAAAACCGCATCTAGATTGGCACGGACGCTTTTCCGCAAAAAGTGCTTTTGCAGAAAAGCGTCCGTGCCAATCTAGACGCTTTTTTCCACAAATGCTTTTAACGGAAAACTTTTCCGTTAAAAGCATTTGCGGAAAATCATGCCAGTCTAGACATAGCCCAGAAGTTATTCTTTCGCTCTACTCTGCACTGATTAGGCCTCAAGTGGAGTATTGTGTCCAGTTCTGGGCACGACATTTCAAGAAAGATGTGGAGAAATTGGAGAATGTCCGGAGAAAAGCAACAAAAAATATTAAAGGTCTAGAAAACATGAGGTATGAGGGAAGGCTGAAGGAATCTTGTTTAGTTTGGAAAAGAGAAAACCGAGAAGGGAAAGGATAGTGATTTTCAGCTACCTAAAAGGGTGTCACAGGTGGGGCGGGAGGAATTGTTCTCCTTGGCCTCTAATGATAGGGGTTTGTTGCAAGGGAAAGTTCCCGGGTTGGTGTTAGTGGGATATGTCCTGTGGTGGTTGGTAAGAATCATCTTGAGGTTAGGTGGTTGTCTATAGGAGACTATGGGTCTGTCTCCCAGAGCCTCTCAGAGTTTAGTATCCTGTTTCAGTATACGTTGTAGTTTATTGATAATGTGTTGGACGGGTTTAAGTTGGGGGCTGTAGGGCTACGTCTACATTGGCCCCTTTTCCGGAAGGGGCATGGTAATTTTTGAAATCGCAATAGGGAAATGCGCGGGGGATTTAAATATCCCCCGTGGCATTTAAATAAAAATGTCCGCCGCTTTTTTCCGGCTTTTAGAAAAGCCGAAAAGAGCTTCTACACTGGCCCCGATCCTCCGGAGGATCCTCAGTAGTATCTCGGAGATAGCTGGGGGTGTTGGTTGGGTAGGGTTTGAGAAGAGAGTCTACATAGCTGGATAAACCAGTAGTGAGCGTGCCGATACGTGAGATGATGGGACGTCCATGGTGTCCAGGTTTATGGATTTTGGGAAGCAGATAGAACAATCCTGGTCGGGGTTCAGAAGGTGTTTCTGTGTAGATTTGGTCCCGAGTAGATGTAGGGAGGTCTTTAAGGAGACAGTGTAGTTTCTTTTGGTATTCCGAGGTGGGATCAGAGGAGAGAGGTTTGTAAAATGTGGTGTTGGAGAGTTGTCTGGTTGCCTCTTGGTTATAGTCGGCCTTATTCATAATGACCACAGCACCCCCTTTGTCAGCTGGTTTGATTATAATGTCCGGGTTGTTTTTGAGACTCTGGATAGCATGGTGTTCAGCGCGGCTGAGATTGTGTGTCGCTTGTTGTCGTTTGTAAATAATGTCAGTTTGTGCGTTGTTGTGGAAGCTTTGTATATAGAAATCCAGATTGTAATTCCGACTGTCGGGGGGAGTCCATATAGAATTATTTTTCCTTTGGTGTTGATAGGGGGAATCTGGTAGGTCAGATTGATGTTGATTGGTGGTTTGGAAATATTCTCGGAGGCGGCGAAAAAAGCCTCAGGGTCACCACAAAATTGTATCCAGTTTGTGGGGGAGGTGGGGCAGAAAGAGAGACCCCGGGATGAAACTGTGGGTATGTGACTCCAGGCCTTACAGAACTGG